TTAGCACAGCGCTGTGTGTCAGGCGCTATAGTCATCCCTGTGAAGTCAGAATCTCTTGGGACAGGTGGCTGAGAAAAAAAACAAAAGTGAAACAAGAAGCATGCAAGGGAGATGATGTTTCATAGCCTGTTGGCTGGTTATTGGGCATAGGCAAATCCTGCCCTCAAGAGCAGGAAATGCACTGACACATGCCATCCAGTGAAACCACACTAGAGCTCTTTGAGATGGAAATAACTAAGGTCCCGAAAAGGAAACTTGCCCAAGGATGCACCTGGGCTGTCAAGATCCTGCCTCTCCTGTCGGTGCTTTTTCCTCTAAGTGATTATGAATAAAGGAGCAGCAGGACATTGCCATCACCTCTGAGGGATCTGAGCACAAGAGTGAGTGACAGTAGATATGGGCTGTGTGGGGAAGAAACCTCAGGCTCCAGTGAAATCAGAGTGTCCTGAGGAGGTGGTGCACATTGGATGGAACAGGCATGAGGCACTAGTGGCATGACCTTGGCGAGTTAGTGATTGACCTCTCTGAGCCTCAGTTTCTTCCTGGAAAATGGGTTGAATGATCATCCAGCACCCAGTGTTTCACTGAGGGTTAGACAAGATCATACGACTCAGAGTGTGACACTTGGTAGGTGGCACATTTAAGTACTCAAACAAGGCAAGTTTTCTTCCTTTATCCCAGCTCCCTGCTTTCTCTCTTACTTCCTCCTTTAAAAAGAGTTGTTTTAAATAGCTATCTGGATTTTTTTCTGCACCACTTCAAAGTCAATGAAAATCAGCTTTAGCTTCCTACTTTATCTTATTTCCCTCTCTTAATACACATGGCCCCTGGGTCTGAGGCTCTGTTCTCAACCAGGGAGCACAGGGCTGGGCTGCTGCTCTTGGTTTCAGTACCTTCTTCTTCCAGGAAGGGCCCTGGTCCAGAGGCTTGCAGTGGCCTCCCCTCACTTCAGTGTGTAGATACCTTGCTGCACCTGTTTGCCCTCCCCTTGCCTGGGTCTCACTGGGTATGTAGCCAGCTTTTCTTCCTGGGTGGGATGTGGCAATGATGAAGCAGCCACTTGTTGAGGGATGTTATTAGTTGGGATTTTTTTTATTTCAGGGCACAGAAACCAAACTTGAATGAGCTTAAGCAAAAATAGGATGCATAGCTCATGTCTCTTATACCAGCACTTTGGGAGGCTGAGGCTGGAGGAGTGCTCAAGGCCAGCAGTTCGAGACCAGCATGGTCAACATAGCAAGGCCCTATCTCTACAAAAAAAAAAAAAAAAAAAAAAAAAATTAAATTAAAAAGGATACATTGGAAGATTTCAGGAGAGGCTCACAGATTTGACAGAGGTGCGGAAGAATCAAGCTCCAGGAAGATAGCATGTGACCTCCAGCATCCTCAGACCAGAGTCCCCTGTTCAGTGGTCCGTGGCTGCAGGCAGCTCTCAGCTGACCCCACACAGCCCTGCCACCAACCCGGGAGGACCAGGCCTTCCCCAGGATTTTTCAGATTGGAATTTGGCTTGGCCTGGAGCATGTGCACACTCCTTGTACCATTGCCAAGGAGAAAAGATACTCCCATGGGCCTACCTTGAGTCCTATACCCTCCGTTTTGGCTGGAGAGTGGGAGATGGGGTGGAGTCTGCATCAGGAGGGAAGAGAAGAACACTAGTAATAATAATTAAGCATCATACTCACTTTTATTGAACTTCCTTTGTGCAAGACACATCCTAAGCCCTTTACCCGTGTAACTCATTTAATCTTCACAGTCAACCCATTTTACGTACCAGGAAACAGAGGTACAGAGAGGTTAAGCAATTTGGCCAAGTCACATAGCTAGTTAGGAGGAGCGCTGGGATTGAACCCAAGCAGAGGGCTCCAGAAGTGCCCTTAACCACCCGCTCTGATGCAGACAGTAACAGACATCACCTCCACGTGCCTGCTCTGAGCATGTGATGGGCTAAGTCCTTTATAACATTATCTTATTTAATCTTTAGAGAAGCCTTATGAAGTGGGTACTAACATCATCCACATTTTTAAATAAGAAATTGAGGCTCGAAGAGATGATATGATTTGCCTTCAGCCAGCCAACTAATTTAAAGTGACAGAGCTGGGATAGGACCCTTGTGTAGGGCCCAAGTTCTTCACAGCCTCACTGGGCAGCCTTTGCATTTAGACCCTTCTCTTGCTCTGTCAGAAGCTCACCTGGTTTGGCTCAGCACTGGAGTCTTTGTCCACTGTCTGGGGAGGGGCTGGGATGTGGAGACCCCCGCCTGCTGCATGCTGCTGAAGGGTCAGCTGTGAGGTTTGAGCTGGTCTAATATATCTCACACTGACCCACACCAGATGGTTCTTGAACATGTCTTTACTGCATTGGAACTCTGAGTTTGTTCGTTTCTTCATTCAACAAATATTTACTGAGTGCCTGGGGGTTCTAGGCCCTGTCCAAGTGCCTGGGGTCCCTCAGGGAAGAGCTTAGACTTGGAAAACATCCAAGAGGAAGGTCCCCCAAGTTTCTGTCCCTTGGGCCTGTTATGTCCCACTCCATCTCATAGGAAATCTTACCTGTATCACCCAAATCAGGTCCACAAGGGACCAGAGACTTCATGCTTCTTTGCTTGGCGCTGGCCTGATGGGAAGTCCAAGGGGAGACAGTGTTTCTTCATTCTTGTTGATTACGACGAAAAACATTGTGTTGGGTAACGAGCATGGGCATGGACTCGGGCCAGCCCCATCGGGAGTCCCAGTGCCGCCGGGGTCTCTGCTAATCGAGACTTTGGGTGAGGCACTTCGCTGTGCCATGCCTCAGTTTCCCCCTCTGCAATGATACTGTACTACCTGTCTTACAGGGTGGCTGGGAGGATTAGCTGAGGTAGCAGTGTTAACTACCAAAGCCAATACTTCTGCACGGGTTAATCCCTCCTCTTATAACAACTAAGTAGTTTTGTCTCTAAAATAGTCAGGGTACCTGGAGGGGGGCAGCTGAATGGGGTCCGTGGTGAGGAAGTCACCAATTGCATCAAGCTCCTCATTTTACAGATGAGGGAACAGAGGCCCTGGCCCTCAAAGGCAGGAAGGTATTGGGCTCTAGGACCTTCTAATTTGTTGGTGTTACAGGGAGCTTAAAGTGTATTTGGTTGTTGGTCAGACAGAGGGTACAGGTTGGTCCTTTGAGTGAGCATCTGACTGGTGGTCAGCCCTTGTAGCCTGGTCCAGTCATACCTACCTCCAACCTACCATGAAGACAACCCAAGCAGAACCTTACACAGCCCTGTGTGGCTGGGTGCAGTGGCTCACACCTGTAATCCAGGCACTTTGGGAGGCCAAGGTGGGTGGATCACCTGAGTTCAGGAGTTCAAGATCAGCCAACATGGGAAAACCCCATCTTTAAAAAAAAAAAAGTGTGTGTGTGTGTGTGTGTGTGTGTGTGTGTGTGTGTGTGAATAAAATATATGAGCCCTGTGTCCCTGCTGCTGGTCTCTGCAGTACCCTAGGGCCAGTAGGCACTTCTGTTCCTGAGATCTAGAGAGCATGATGGGGTCCCTGGCTTCTGAAACTCTGGTTGGACCAAAATGATGGAATTCTGTATCAGGATGTCCAGCTCCCCACCCATCGCTCCCAGAAGCTCCCCTTGAGAAGCAGGAGGCAGACAAGTCTAGGCCTCCAGCTTCTCTGACTTCTGGCTGGAGGCAGCAGCACAGAGCCTGCAGCTCAGGCTGATAGAATGTGGCCCAGGCAGGCCGGCCTGTTTGTCAGCTGGCACAGGCCCTGAGGGGTGTGGGCTTGATAATGATGATGACAGGCGGGCAGGGCTGGTGCTTCTGCGCAGGTGGCCGCCCATGGAACTTGCCAGGCTCGCCTGGTGTGTGTGCCCATTAGGGCTTCGCTCAGAGTTGATGTCCAGAACACCTTCCCCCAGGCTTGGTGGGAAAGGCGATGAGCACTGGGGCAGCCAGTCCTGGGCCCCAGTCCTGCCTTGCTGTGGAGCTTTGGCAAGTGCCGTCTGTCATATAAACCTCTGCTGTCTGTGAGGAGCCACTGAGAGAAACCACACATAGTCTCTGCCCTCAATGGTTCCAGGTGTGAGCATACACAGCACTTTGTAGGCCCTCTTCCATTAACAGGCTGGGAATTCTCAACAGTGAGTCCTACCTCCCAGCAAGCTAAAGATGTGTGTTCTTTGTGTGTGAGAGAGAGAGAGAGAGAGAGAGAGAGAGAGAGAGAGAGAGAGAGAGAGAGTGTGTGTGTGTGTGTACATGCGGGCCCACCAGTAAGGTGTGTGAATACCTCCCTGGAGTATGAATATTGCCTCTTATAGATGTCAAATTTCACACCTGTGCTAGTTTTTGTACCATTGAGGCTACCTCTTAAATATTTTGATTTGTTTTTTAATGTGAAGTAAATCATTAGAAATATTTTGTAACTCTGGGTTTCATTTTCCAGACAGGTGTAGAGGCATTTTCTGCAGAAGCAATAGGATGTCAGCAAATAATGCAGGTGGTCACTGGAAGCCAAGAGAATAATTAGTTTAGGAAACTCAGCCGTGATCAGCGGGTGCACTTTCATAACTCCTTGGTTTACTCAGTGTTGGAAGATAGGACCAGTTTCACACTGGTCCTTGTTATGAAGTTTTACACCTGCTTGATTACTTTCATTGTGTCTCAAGCTTAGAAATCCTGACACTTTCTGTTTTTACTAAAGCAGCGAATAAAGCATTGTTTTCCAGATCCTCCTACTCCTCAGCAAAGTCTGTGTGTAGAGATCTGGTAAGCCCTGAGGGTGCCCTGACCGCAGCCAACAATAGAGTTTGTTTAGCCGTCTTGCTGTACCTTTCTTCACAGGCAAAACGTGTTGGAGCACAGAGAGAGATTCTCTGTCCATTTCCTCTTGCTGGGTGAAGTGTCCCACAAGGCAAAGTGCACAAGCACGTGCACCCTCTTGGCGGGGACTAGAAAGGAGGTGTAAGCTAAGACGACGTCACTGACATTCATTGTTGGGCTCTTGTTTTTCAAGGAACATGGCAACCGGTGTGTTTCTCATCCCAGAAGGAGAAGACTTTAGCCACTGTGATGCCTGAGAATCCAGTGAGTAAGTCACAGTGGTGGATCTTGTTTACCATGGAGTAGCTCCTGGGGGCTGGTCCTAGGCTTAGGAAAGCGTGGGATGTTCCCCTCATCCTGGGGCAGTTTGCCGTGCCCAGGGCGTGCTGTTCCCTCTGAGTCAGCACCGCCTCCTCTGCACTCCCCTAGCTCTGTGTTCATGCTCAGATACACCACTGAGTTAAGGTTTGTTCTCCTGCTTGTCCCACCCACCAGTTGTGGGAGACTTGAGGGCAGGGAACCAGGCTCCAGCCTTACTGTCTGAGCCAGGCAGCCCTTCCCGGCAGGCACCGTACCAGGCACAACACAGGTGGCCAACAGCTGTTTGTGGACTCAAGAAGCCTCAACCCCGAGGTTTGATCAGGGCTTTATGGTCCACGAAACTTCATCACAGACAGTGTCCCATGGGAGCCTTGTGCCCTGGGCGGGGTGGTCATATTATGCTCATTTATTTTATAGACATGGAGGCTGGGGTCTGAGAAGTCAGATAACTTGCCCCAGGTGGTAGGCTAATAAGCGCCCAGGAATCATCTTCTTGTGTTCCAGGCTAGCCTGGTTTCTGTAATGTCAAACTTTATAATTAGAAAGGTTGTTTAGAGTAAACCCCTCATTGCCAAACAGGGAGACTGAGGCCTGAAGGGACTTTCTCAAGGTAACAGGATGAACTGGTGTCCAATGGAGAATTGCAATGCAGGCCCTGGACTTCCAGTCCGGTGTTTTGGCACCCCTCATCCCTTCTCCTCTGCTGTGCTTCTGTATACAGCAATCAGAGAACATTTTGGGACCATAAATCTGTGTTTACAGGAGGGTGAAGAACTTACAGAAAGCCATGAGTTAAGGGAACATAGTGATGAATCAAACACCCTTCTCTCCGGGAGCGTCCCTGGACATGTGAGCCTTGGCAGCGACTTGAAGAGGCTCAGTTTAGCTGTGGGAGGAGGGAGGAGGAAGGTGAGGGTGAAGGGAGAGCATCTGGGCCCAATCCAAGAAGCTGAGGCATGGGTGGAGGCCCCTGCAGAGGGGCAGCAGGTGTGCATGTCAGGGCATTTGGCAGCTGGCCTGGTGGGTGCTGGGGGACCACGTCGGGGTGAGGAGTCCATGGTGAGTCCTGAATGGCAGGATGACAAGGGGTTGACTGGTCATCAGGGAAAGCTGCTCCAGGACTTCTCATTCTTAGGATTTGGGGAAAGACCCAGGCAAAGAGCTGATTGGCCAGAGAAACTGTCCCCTCTCTGGAGAAACAGAATACATAGTTTGTCAACAGAGGAGGGCTGGGCAATGAACAGCGAATTCCAACATTGTCTGAAATGTGTGTGGTGAGGGGAATGTGTACCATTTTTGCTGGCTCAATCCGTTCCCCCTCAAATGAGTTTTTGTTTTGTTTTGCTTCTGATCGAACACATGTGCTGTTGTTCTCTCTTCCCTTCCCTCCTGGCTCTTCCATTCAATCCAGGCTTGACCCAGGGCCAGGTGGGTCCTGACTACCCTTCTGTGTTCACTCCACCCCTTCTTGCAACTTCCTGGACTTGAGGACTGGGACTGGCTGCCAGCTTCATCCCCACTGGCAGGTTGAAACATACAGTTTGCCCGAATTACAGAGAATGCGATGCTTGCCAAATAGATATCTTGGATTAGTTTCCAAAGCATTTCCAGATGATACACTTCTCTAGGGCAGGGAAAGGTGTCATTTTGTATCAGTATCATTTACACTTCATATTTCTTTGCACTTTACATTTTATAAAGGTCATTTCATCTTCATGATCAAGCAGGTGGACTTCTCCCATTTTACAGATGAGAAATTTGCCTGAGGCAGCTGTCACCTGCCCAAGGCAGTGCAGCTGTCTAAGGGCTGGGCTGGGACACAGCCCAGGCCTACTTTATAAATTCCATGGTGTCTCTCCTCTGCTGAGCTCCAACCAGAGTAAATCCCTGGAGGGCTGAGACGTGAGAGGAGCTCAGTAAACGCTTGTGGAATGAGTGAACTTTGACTTTTTTTTTTTTTGGCTGCCCTTAACCATAAGTGGACCCTCTTTGGCAGCAAACAGAACACCGCTCCGTGGAATATTTGAGTTTCTTGCCATGATAAGGACCTGGTGAGCTCTCTTCTCACCCAGCCTTACCTCTGGGAACTAGGTGATGCACACTAAGTAATTCCTTGACTTTTACTCGGAGCTTCCTCCTCCCGAGTTGAAAAGCTGTGTTAGACACTGATCAGGTCCTTGGCAGAAGCAGATCCGATTGTTTGTTGTCACAGACCTCCAGAGACCCATCTAATTGCCCATGAGTAATACCTGTGACCCAAACAGGTAAGCCTTCCAGGCAGGTGATTATCTCTCCTTCTACCCTTCCCCCTCTAACCTTCTCTAGACTGAGGAAGAGGGACGGGTGTGGCTTACCTTAGATATGTAGGGTTCTGTAGGGTCGGGGGGCCTACGTTTTCCTTTTCACTGACTTCTGAAGTTTTCCGTGTTTTGTGGCAAGGACTGGAGAAAGAACAAGAAAACCACGTCAAGGTGGGAAAACGGGAGGCAGTTACCACAGTATCTGCTGGGTCTGCTCTTTCCCTAAGTGACACTCAGGTCATGTTTCTTAGATCTGCAAGGGATGCAGCCAGCCTCATTAGACCCTTGAGGCCAACAGAATAGAATGGAAGTAAGAGTGGGCTGAGGACAAGAGACCCATGTTATACTGTTGGCTGTCCACAGCTTAGCTACGTGACCTTGGGCAAGTCATAGAACCTTCAGATTTCTTATTCAAGAAGTCAGGGAAGGTGGAGGTTTGGTGGCATCTTGAAGAAGTCTCCTTGACTTCTGTGGTCCTGGTCCTCAGTGCCTCTGTCAGTTTGCCCTTGTGATTAGCACTGTCTTCTCCTCCAGGTCACCTCCTCCTCATGCGGTCAGGGTTTGCTTCTATAAGCACTTTCATCCTGATCTTTGTAGCTTTGCCAGCTCTCCCCTGCCCCACCCTGAGATAGGCCAGAGTGCAGATAAGAACTCCCTGTTGCTGTCCTGGTCTCCTGCCAAGCAGTATGGGAGAAAACTCTAACTTTGTGAGATTGTTAGGGATCTAAGGAGTGAAAGTTGGTTGGTATCAGAGGAAAGTGGGATTAAAGCTTGTTGGGATTTTCAAGTCCCTGATGCCCCAGGGTACCTGGATTGTACTAAGTTGTTTGCTCAGAGGATAGTAAATACGTTCTTAAGTATATGGCCCCAAGTTGGCCAGGCCTTGTGATCAGGGGTAACCGGATACTTTGGAGAAATAAAGGGAATAGCATTGGTAGAAAGTTGCTTGGTGAGAGATGAGAGATGTCTCAGATGGACAGCCAGCATGAAAAGGAGAAGGGCTAGGGAAGGTGGAATTGTCTCCGATATTTACAACTGGAAAGTCTTAAAGCTGGAAAGAACTACGGATCCTTTAATCCACTTCTTCCATTTATTAGTAAAGAAACTGAGGCCCAGAGACAAGACTGAAGCATGCCCATAGAGCAGGCTGGCGGTAGAAGTGAGTCAGAAGCCGAGTCTCCTGAGGCTCTCTCCCCACTTCCATGTTGCCTCTTCACGTGGGTTCAGCCACCATGCCTTCCTCTTTTCTCTTCCACCCTGCATTTGAATGTCTAAGGTGTTAGCAGGGCCCCCACTGCTCCTACCTCATTGTTTATTAAGGCCTAATAAAACTTGGGCGCAACAGCATGGAGAGGTTGAGGCTTCTCAGGTGCAGGCTGTTTTGACTTGTACTTAGTGACTTCACACTGTTGAGTTGCCATTATTCTGTTTTATGATGTGTCCTGGGGTGAAAGATTAATTCAAAACAGGAAATGAAGGCTATATGATGGCCCAGCCTTCACAGGAGTAGCCTCTTGTGGTTTGCCATTCAGATTTAAATCACATGAGCTTTGTTGGTAAGCAAGCCTTGTTCTGAGAAACTCCAGCAAAGGGCATGGACTGCACTGTCGCTTGCTCTGAGAGGGGCTCTTTGGGTGTGAGCCGGTCATCCCATCACTATGCTGATGGCACATAAACCAGAATGGAAACCACTCACTATTTCTGTAGACCTCCATTTGGCCCAACACTTCCTACTGAGCTCAGGGAAATGCATCTTGAGCTCCTTCCATTGGTCAAGCACTAGGTTCGCATATATTACCTTGTTAATATACGTGAGCAGGCCTCTGAGATGTAGGCATGGCTGTTTGTTGTATTGAGGAGAAAATTGAGACAGATACAGGTTAAATAACTTGTCTATGCCCACAAGGGCCAGGATTCAAGTACAGGGTATCTGACTCTAAAGCCCTTCTTGGTTCCACATTTCACATGGCTCTCTGCACAGAGAAGGGAGGGCTGGGGGAAAATAGGTGTGTCATTGACTGAAGCGTCAAACATTTATTATGGGACTTCCAAATGCCAGGGCCTGGGCTTGGCTCTTAGAATGCAAAGGTGAGTAAGACCTAGTCCCTTTACTCCTAGGACTTGTGGCCTGGCCTAATGGCGGGACAGATGTATATGATGACAGTCATAGCCCTTTTATCAGCATTATAAAGACCCACACAGAGTGCTCTGGAAGCACTGAGAAGAGAGCAGCACACAGGGAAGGCTGCACCAAGGAGAGGCTGTGAGGCTTGGGTATTGAAGGATGAACAGGAGGTTTCCAGGCAGAAAAGGAAGCAGAGAGTTCTCCAGGAACTCTCTGGTGCTTGGTGGTGCAAAAGGGCCTGATTTGGTGTTTGGAAGTAAGGAGAAGGACTGCACGTGTTCTCTTCTTAGCTGAGGGTGCAGAGAATGAGACATTCATTCAGTTGAGAGATAAGCTCTGGAGGGGGAGAGGAGGGGAGTTCAGAAGTAGATTGCCAAGGGTTTTGCAAAACACTTGCTGCTAGGTGAGATTCATTGAAAGAAACATTAGCAGAGACCAGCAAAGCTTCTCCAAATATGAATTCTCCAGCTGTCTGATGGATGTTTCTGTATAGAGACAGGAACTTCTGCTGGGGGCTCATTT